TTTTAAGTCTGTTACTTGTGTAAAACAGTATTTTATTTTAGTGTGCTTTCAGAAGAGTTAACTACGTAATGCTTAGAAGAATATTTACACATAGGCAAATCATAAAATCTTATATTGGATGCATTGTGCCTTATAAATTTCCAGTCACATGTAGACAAAATAAAAACTACAAAGAAAAAAAATCAACTAAATTAAGATTATTTTTTAAAAAAATCAACAGTAAAAAAAATATTTCAGAATTTACCTGATAAAGACCAAAAAGTAGGCATGAAGATAATTACAGAGCTCAAAGACTTTATAAACACCAAATGAGTTGTGCACAAAATCATTATGCAGTAGAAACTAATAGATTCAATGGCTGTCTGGATTCAATGAATTAAAAATCAGCCATTTTATATAATATGCACAACACATGAAGAATAATGTCTAAGATTTCCATATGCACACATGTGACTCTTAGGACAATAACTTTTAAAACAACAATCCCATTTCTGTGGCTGCTGTATTACTAATTGAGAAATATGTCAAGTATGATCTTACTGCAGATAGATGTGTACTGGTCCCAGAGCTTGTATCTCAGTGTTGCTAAACAATGAAGTTCCTAGTTTAGGTATTTTGTACATTTTGAAAGAAAAGTGACTTCTGGATAGCACATATTCACTATCCTCACAATAACTCTGATATGACTCTTAGCCTTTGGAGAATTATTATTTTTCCTCAGTAGTATTTGAGGAAAAACTCAACTCAGAATCGCTATGCTATGCTAAACCACAGAAACAAGCTAGAGAGAGATAAATAGCCCTACAGAATTCCATCTTTGAAGATTTAAGTGTCACCTGCTCAAGTATTTGTTTCTCCTTGCTGTTTTATGCAGTCCAAGGATTTTACTTACCCTCTCAACTTCAAACAAAATACTATTTGCTCAAAAATAACTCCAACCTCAAACTGTCCAAGAACACATGCAAGAATGGCTGAACGTGCCTCCAGCCAAGCAAACACTGGACAGGCTGGCAAAAAATAACTGTAAGCCTCTCAGCTAACACAGCAAGAATTAACTGTTCAGCTTCATTGCAAGAGCTCTTCAACAGCAACATGTAGTCACTCTAGTTCAAACGTTCCCATGGGATTTGTCCTAGCCCAGAGGGCTAGAAGGCTGGTGTTGAATAAGGAAGCACACCATCCTTCTTGCGTGCAGAAATGCATACATAGGTAACAGTAAAGGGTGATAGAGAGTAGGTGTCTGAGGGTGGGAGGAAAAAAATCCCAAGGAGACGCAAGAAGTAACAGAGTGGGACCAGGTGTCAGGTAGAAGGATGAATGAGAGAGTGTAGACATAGATGTAGTTCTGTGGGACAAAAGAAAGGGGAAAAGAAGACCACAAACAAAAGAAAGAAAGAAAGATGGGCAAGACATAGACATGGTGGTGCAGGGAAAATGGTGGAAAACCCTCCAGAATCTGGAATGGAAAATAGAGAAATTCAGTGGAAAACAATGCAGAAGAGCAGCCTAAGACCCACTGCAAATCCACTGCTTGTGGCTCAGCACAGCCCCTGTATGTGCTTTGGGTAGCTTGTGGATCCTTCCAGGTAGCAGACACCCTACCTTTACAACAGAGTTACTGTGGACCATGCTACTGTAGTAAGGCTCACCTGTCAGGAGATGGAGGATGCACATATGCTCTAGGCAATGGCAGCATTGCTGCCATCATAGGGACACATGAAAAGACATGGAAATATCTACTGAACTGAGGAAGACACCAATGCTGTAGTATAAACCCAAAGCAGAAGGCTTTACGTACATGTGCCGACTGATACCATCAGCATCTGCAAAACAGCCATTGTGGTACTGGACACCTAGTGATACACATCTTTGTTGATTAGCCTATCTTGACACACAATAGATAAAATTATACACAAATTATAGCCAGGATCTCACAGCCTGGCAATTTCCCAGCACAAGCCTTGCAAGCACTTTAATTGGTCCAACAAAGGGGATGAATCAGCTCAGGCAAGCCTAAACCAAAATCTGCCTCCACCACACAGACCTCAGCAGCAGAACTGTATATTCTACTTGAAGCCACACAAGCAGGTTAGACGTTTGTGCTGGAGTTCATGCTCTCTACAGAGAGAGACTACTTTATCTGTACAGCATCCAGCAGAACTGGATGCTGGTTTAGATCCAGGCTTGAAAGAACTATTAGCATATGCTTAACAGGAAGTGTCTGAGCCTGGAACTCTGCAAGATTATTAATAGCTCATATGCCAGAGCAAATCATGCTGCTAGAAGCAGAAATCCATTTTCTCTAACCCCGTTGTCTGTTCCACAGGATCCCAACAAGAGAAAAGGGGATGCAGAGCAAGAGGTTTCTTTTTAAGCAGCTGCTTCAGGTTTGTCCATGTGTTTCTTGCTCCCACCTACATTTCAGAGGATACTGCGGATATCAGCTTGGCTTAGAAACAAATCTAAATCAACCACAACCTGAAGATGTAAGAACAAATGAAGCAGAGAAACAGAACCACTCTCACAACAGATCATCTCTGCTCTACTCCACTGTGCTAGAAAAGAAACACATTTCTGTCACCCACATCCACCTACCTATTAGGGGATTGGTTCAGAAACATCCAAGAGTATTGTCACAATGGGCTCTGTTTACAGAACAGTAGCCCTGTATAGCTGTGGACAGAAGTCACATCTCTTTTCTGTAGTGTGGCAGTATCATGGCACACAGAATTGCAAAATCATAGAATGATTTGGGTGGAAAGGGACTGTGGGAGGTGTCTAGTCCAACCTGATCAAGGCAGGGTCTGCTATGTGATCAGATCAGGTAGTTCATAACTTTATCCAGTCATCCCTTTGCAAAGAATGAAAAAAACTAAAGATGGAGACTGCAAAAGCTTCCTGGACAACTGTTTCTGAAGCTTGCAAAAAAAAAAACAAAACAAAACAAAAAAAAAAACAAAACAAAACAAAAAAAAAAAAACAAAAAACCACACATTGAATTAGAACCTCTCCTGATTAAACTTATGTCTCATTTTCCCATCACACATACGCTCATTTGCGAAGAAACTGGCTCCATCTTCTTCAAGATCTCCTTATAGACATTGGAAAGTTACTATTACACCTCTTCAGATCCTCTGAGCAATCACACTTGTAACCAGACTCCAGGAAGAGTATGAATCATTAAGCCCTATCCCTTGATGTCAATGGCCCTGACAGGTTTTCACGAATTTAGTAGTCTACTCCTTTAGGCTACAGCATTCCAAACCAGGTAACACAGCTGATGCCACAGCACAACATGCTGAAGGCTAAAGTCAACATAGATGACTCCTGTTGCTCTTCTTCCATTAATGGATCTAGTAGTTTCAATGCAGAAAGCAAACAAGTTTGTCAAACAGGATTTACTCAGGGTAAATGTACACTGATTACTAATCCTTGTTCTCAGGCTTCTTCCATGCTCCCTTTCAGAGCCACATCTCTTTTCTCCCTCTTCATCCCCACAAACATTGCCATACACAACCCTCCTTTCCAAGCTTTCTGCCAACCTTACTCCTAAAAAGAAAGGGGAACAATTCTGCTCCTAGACACAGCTTTTCTCTAGAACATGCTGTGTTTCATTTCCTATTTTCACTAGGGAAAAACCATAGAGCATGTATGACGCACAAGAGTGTCCTGGAACATGGTCAGACAAACTGACGAAGCCAGGCTTCGCTGGGCACATTGAGGCTCTATGAAAGAAAAAGCCTTGGCCTCTAGAATCACATAGTCACTGAATGAAGACCCCCGAAGCCATCTCCACAAAGCAATTGAAAGGAAAAAAACAAGAGCAGTGCAACCAACAGCAAGCATAGACATTCACTGAGTGAGAAACCAGTTTTGTCAGATTTCCCCCACTGACAAATTCTGATGTGGGAGAACGTAGCAGATGCAAGCAGCTCTGACAAAGACTGGGGCTTTCCCAACCTGATTCTGTTGCACCCTTGCTTTTGTATGCTTCCCTTGCTACCACACTTTTTCCACTGTTACAGCGACTGACACCAGGCACGCAGTCAATGGAGGATGGGTCCCAGCCAAACAGAACTGACCACAGGTCAAACTCGACAAGGGTGCAAACAGGGCCCCGCCGGAGGGTGAGTGGAGTTGGTCCTCCTCAGAGCAGCAGCGGGTCTGCAGTCAGGGACCCTCCGCTTGGATCAGGACCGTCCAAGGTAAATTCCCTGGCACTGAGAGCCCTCATCTTATAGGTGAGTGATTGCACATTTTGGATCATCATTCTAAAGGATTGTTTGGGAAAATTTAGGAATTCTTGAGTCAGCTGTGTAGCTGTCAGCTACAGCAGTCAGCTGTCCTTCCCGCCTGACATTTGAACTTGTTGTTTAGTATTGTCAGACTGCTAAGTAATTTTTGTTAGAATAAATCCCATTTTGAGTGACTGCCTTGTCTGTTTTGCAGGTGTCTCCACAGCAGAGAACTTCAGTAGTTCAAAAGGCTTAATCCAAAACCAAGTTCTACATATCCATAAAAATGCTTGCAATTATAATGAAAATACTCCAAATACCAAGAAACTCATCACTGAGTAGAAGATGTTACTGCATGCATATTACACGGCTATTTTTTGTCCTTCCCCTTTAAGAATTGCCCCTTAAGAATTTAAGAATCTTGCAAAGCAACTCCCTCATCATAGAGCCACTCAACAATAAACACTAACTATATCACATCCATTAAAATGGGGGTAGGGGTAAGGAGTGAGAGAAACAGAAATTTTATTAACATGAAGCAAGTGCTGAGATGGTTGACAACAGGTCAGCTGAAGCACCAAACAAAAAGTACAATGTTTCACATTTCTGCAGGAGGTAAATATTTGAGACTACCCACATTTGCTTTTCAGAGATTTCTTCCTCTACACACACCAAAAGAGCAGAAATACTTGAATTCTGCCAAAGGCAAGTACATATACTAATGAGTGTGAGAGAGAATTTCCTGGTGGGATCTAGGAATCATACCTGCCAGAGCTGGGATGGTGACTTTGTTCCACTCCCATGGCTGATCATACTCATCTGCAGGCCTGTCATCATCCTGTGGCAATTTGCTTTCTCGTAAATGTTGACTCACTATACTTTCAGAATCGGATTCCACACCACTGCCTTCTGGTTCATAGGGCGTGTCATAGAGCTGCATGTTTTTCTGATAGGACCTCATGCCTTCCTGCTCCTGAAACTCTGTTGGCAAGAAAGAAAATCACATCAGCATCACCACTAACCATGCCTTATCAACACAGTCAATAATTTTAGAGCATCTAACTTCCATCCATTCCTTAACAGTCACAAAATTATATAGATGGCAAGCTTGTACAAGACTTCTAAGTTCTACCTGTATATTTGGTAACTGGCTGGAAGCAAAGGTTTGCTCCAGCTAACAACCACAGCACAGTCTCATGCCTCCACAACATTCTCCAATTTGCACAGAGCCAGGTTACAGGAAGCACACAATCCTTGTCAGCCTGTGTACAGCACACTTAAAAGTAACTGTACATAGATCCTCAAGAATACTGAAATTTGAGTATGCAGTTAACTCTTCAAGAGGAGATCATCAGAAGTGCAACATGAAGATACAAAGGTCACAAAAATTAAATACCATAGTATGATTATATATGCTGATAAAAAAAAAATCCTCTGCAGTTACTTCTACAGAATATCCGTATAAAATGAGTTAGAACTAGAGTAATAACACTAAACAAAAGCATTGATAACTAGAGCTTAGCACATTTTATTAAGGAACAGGTATTTCTTTAAATTAACACTGCCCTTATAAAAAACCAAACATGTTGAAGTTTAACAGAATGGAACAATTTACTGTCCTCCTGAATAGAGCAAACCAAAAGCTAGGCTTTGTTAGGACGAGCACAGCTAGCAAATCAAGGAGCAAGCTGTCATACCTTCACCCTTGGCCCCTACTGTGTCCAGTCGGCACACTTCCTAACAAGGAGTGTGCAAGGAGTGAGCTATTTCATAAAACTAGAAAGGAGTCAGTGCACAGATATCAAGGTCCTGGGACCTATGATAAGGAGAGATGGTTTTGGTTAGTCTGATGAGAGGAAGGTCAAGAAGGATGTAAGAGCAACTCTCAGCTGCCTGCGGTTAAAGACAAACTTTTCTCAGGTAGTGTCAGAAGATGCAATAAGGAGAAACAGACACAACATACAGCTTGAGAGATCCAAGTGGGACACTGGGGGAATCTTCTTCCCCTAGTGTGTAGTGCAGTGCTAGGACAGGTCACCAAGTAAGTCATGGGAGATGCCTCCATTCTCTGGAGTTTGCAGAGCCTTGGTTAGATAAAGCCAGCATTGCTCAAATCTGATACAAAACTTCCTGGAGTGGGTGATAGACCAGGTGACTGTGCTGCCATTCAGAGGGACTGGAGATGCTTGAAAATTGCAGGCTAACTGGCTGGAAAGTAGCTCAGCAGAAAAGGACCTTGGGGTCCTGTGTGACAGCAAGTTGAACATGAGCCATCAATGCACCCTTATGGTAAAGAGGGCCAATACAAACCTGGGATGCATTACAAGGAGTGTTGAAAGCAGGTCAAGGGAGGTGATTCTACCCCTCTACTCAGCACTGATGAGGCCATATCTGGACTGCTGGGTCCAGTTCTCACCTCCTCAGTGCAACAAAGAACTGGACATACTGGAGAAAGTCCAGCAAAGGGCCATGAAGCTGATAATGGGACTGGAGCATTCTTCATATAAGAAGAGGCTGAGAGCACTGGGACTGGTCAGTCTGGAGAAGCAAGTTTCAGTGGGGACCTTAGCAATGCTAAGAGTGAAGATGGAGCCACAATTATATTGGCAGTGCCCAGTGAACAGGACAAGAGGCAACAGGCCCAAATCAAAATACATCAAATTCAATCTGAACACAAAAGCCCAACTTTTTACTGTGATAATGGTCAAACATTGAAAGAAGTTGCCCATAGAGGCTGTACAGTCTCTATCTATGGAGATATTCAAGACCTGACTGGACATAGTCACACACAACCTGTTCTAGCTGACCCTGCTTGAATACATTTTTTTATCAGATGATAATCAAGAGATCCCTTCCAACCTCACCTGTTCTGTAATTATCTTGACTGCTGCAAGGACAAAATAAGAACTTCATTGATTGTAGCAAATTGCAAAGTTACTTTAAAAAAACCCAAAACAAACTCTGAGAGAAGGGAGAGAACTTCTTAACCTACAGCACACGAAGTAAAGATTTAGAGCAGTTCTCTCAATTACTATAACAAAAGCCATTCATCAAATCATATATCAGCAAGAACATTATAATCAAGTAATTGTTCCAAGCTATTTCAAAAGTACTGTGAAATGTCTACAATATGACAATGCCCTTATTGCTTAAGTTCATACATGACAAATACAGTAAACGCAAAGAAATATGCACCAAACCCAATGATGTAAATACAAGCAAGATAGGTTATGATAATTCCTAGTTATGAATTATAATCACATTACCACCTTTCAACACAAGCAAAATCTAGAAAAGAGTACCTTAAAGGGCAGCTTATTTTTTTTTTAAAGTGCTTTAAACATTTTCAACTAAAACACAGTCTTTGTCTTTCAGCTATCTTTTGAAAATAATTTTGCTCAAGGAAAAATGCTGCATTAAGAAAAACTTGTATTAGAAAGAGCACACAGTAGATAGTCTCTTGAATGCTTCTGGGTCAAAAAGCTAAACATTTTATTTCTTCTGAAGTCAGACATGTGGTATGTATCTGTCTGTCTTTCAGTGCTGTGAAGCCAGCCACTGCTGAAAGTGTGCATTTCTGAGGAACAGAAGTCATGATCCTACAAAACCAAAAGCTTTACAAAAGAAAACAAACAAACAAAAAAACCCAACCACAAACCAAACCAAACTATTCATTTGAGGTGCCAGAACTACACCATTGACCCCTGGTGTGTAAGTATATTTCAGTACAGGAGCCCATCATCAACACTTATTCATAGGACCAAATCATCAGACTGCATAGAAAAGATTACCCATAAATAGAAGGTGATATGCTAACAATTCACAGCTCATGTTCAGAGACCACAAAAACTTACATATTTTTGATCCTAAAGGTGAAAAGTTTCTCCAGGAAAAACTAAAACCTAGAGAGAGCCAAGAAGTGGAAGAACGAGAATAAATATACATGCATATATAAACATATGCATGTATACACATACACATTTATATACACATACTTACATAAAGCCTCTTATATAAAGATTCCTATAAATTTGCTTGAAAGTCCGTCTTTTACTTAATATATTGGAAGAGTATTTGTAAAGAAAAGTAATTTTACTAAAAGTTAAATCAGAAACAGTTCAATAACAGGCAGCAAAGCTGAATCTGCACCACAAGCAGTATTAGCATTATACACACTGATAGCTCAGTGCAAACTTGATATTTAACAATTAGGTAGCTGAAGAAAACATTTGTGATGAAGCATTTCTCATAGTTTTCACACAATCTCCAAGAATGACAAGTCTAAGTGCTAAAACAGTTACTGGAATGACCAGGGAGTCCAAAACTGTATTAATTTCACTTTTTTTTATTTTTCACTTTTATTAATTTTATCCTGTGAACTCTCACTGCTGATAAAGAAAAGTACATTTTTACAGAATTATGCTCATTAAATTAATTAGCTAACAGAAGAAGAAGCAATTGAAGTTTTGAAAGAACTTACTTTCATAGCAGGCTACAAGACCTCCCAGAAGTAATTCTTATTCTTCCAAATTAGCAGTTGTAACAGAATCGGTTCCAGGAGTCTGGACTCCTGTGTTAAAACCAAGAACCTGACCAGCAAGGTACAGAAACTAAAACATCTGGGAATACAAGACTGCACCTGACATTCTTCTTCCCATTTGGTGAACAATTCTAACAAACATTCACATACAGAAGAGACAAAGCTCTGCAGGACAAGCAGAGAACCTCATAGTAACCTTCCCAGCAGCCACACGAAACCTCCTAATAGTCTTAAATAATTCAACAGCATTACTTACAGATGCACCATATTCCTGAGGTGAGTTTTAGAGAGAAATAGGGGATATAATAAAGAAAACAGAAGAGCTAAGAAGCCAACTAAAGGAAATTTTGAAGACATTACTTGCTTACAGAACCCAATAGGTGAGCTTCTACAGCAACAGACAACAAAACAACCAGATTCTTCTATAATGTACAGATGCCAATAGATACTTCCTTCATCTCAAACTAAAGCATGCAGTAACAATAGTCCAAACAACGTAGTTGTACTCTTAAAAAAAGAAAGTTCTGATAACATAAAAAAAAGTGTTTTCCTAAATCAAGGAGCCTATGTCACCAGGCAATAATAAACTCAACACCATTTTACATCCCCTTTGCAACATTTTTTGGATGACATAAGATAAAAGCAAAATGTAGGAGCCTTCCTGCAATAGTTGTGTAAGGAATGTCAGGTACAGAAAGAGTCCCTGAAGTTAATCACTCGTAAGAACGTTTTTGTTTTCCTGTCTGGTGAAAGACAGCGAGCTATGGACTCTGTTGGGAAGTAAAGGTAGGTTCCTGCATCACAGTAGGAACACACCTTGCTTGCCTAGATCCAATATGCAGAAAGAGTCTTAGCCAGCAAGATACAATGCACTAAGACATATAAATCTCCTGATATTTTAAACCTCTACTGGGACAGCTTTTAAACATTTTACATGCAAGGAATTCACAGCATCTGTGGTAAAACAGGCCTATGAGCTTCCTTTTTTCTATGACCACAAACAGTAACTTATGCATGCCCCACTGAGAAACAGAGATATTTATAATGTAATTAGATAAAGACACATTAACATACATACTAATCAAATGCTGCACAATAAAGCTGTTTTGACTCACCAGTATGGCAGATTTCAAAGTGTACTAAATCACACATATCAGATGCAACTGTGATAAAACACACCCATCTCCACTTCAGCTACAGATTTCATGACTGGTGCAGGATTTAAAATGACAGTGCTACCAGCTCCTCAGCTGCTTTCTTACCACCAAAGCCCTATTCTAGTGAGCCAAATATGACTATGAAAGTAACATGCTGGAAACAGTACTGCCATGCAAGGCCAACTTTTTAATAGGTAGCACTAAGACGGACTTTTAAGCAAAGTACCAGATTTATCAACAACCTTTGTACCTGAGAAGCCTAAGAGCAGAACTCAGGACAGATG